CTGTGTGGTGTTGGAGAAAGCACTTGATGTGTGGGCATTTGGTGGTAGGAAGTGGTTCAGACTGGAGCACTCCCCGTGGAGAGAATGTCCCTGAATAACATAGCAGAAGCCACTTGGAGGGCTTTTGAAGTTCCCTGTGTGCAGAGGATTGTGGGACAAGATTGTTTATTCTCTCCTAAGAGAAAGAGGTTGTAAATGTGAACTGTGACAGGATGCCGAGCCTGTCCCTGGGAATCAGATCTGTGTCAGGATGGTGGAGACAGCTGCCAAAGTCCAGAGAGAGGCTGCACAAGCCTCCAGTGATGTGGAGAGCAGAAGGTCTTTTCAACATTTGGCCTTATCTTGATGGTGAGCCTCCTGATCAGAAATGAATTGCCTGGTGGATCAGGAAACCATGCCATGGCATTCTGTTAAGGAGAAAACATGAGGGCTTTCAGTAGAACAGGGACCCATACACAGATGTTCACGTCCCTGCGCACATTGGGCTGACTGTCCTTGCAGAGTGTGAAATGGGAAATATCTGAACGAACACATCTGTACTTGCAGAAAATGACAAAGATGAGGATAAAGATGTTTCATGTTGTGGAGGCTGAGAAGATACAGGAATCACGTGCCCCCAGGTAACACTGAATAATCAGGAGCAAGTAATGGGTGATAAAGTATGGAAAAGGCCTAGAAGCACACCCTCCCTGGAGTCTTCCATGGGCCAAAAGCCTGCATTCCCTTGGCCACCATATGTACAGTTCAACCCAACTTAGACACAGAGTGTGGCAGCTGTTGTGGTTCTTTCTATGTGCTGAGTGCCGTGTCTGAATTAAACAGGGATAACTGAGTCTCTTTTCTTCTCGGCTCCTTTCTGCCCGGTGTAATGAATACCAGCTGCTGTCTTTCTCTCCGGTTCCCATGGCAGCCATGCTCTGTTGCAGAGAGGGGGATTGCCTGTTTCTTCTCAAAGGGAACCTCCCATTTGCCTTCTGGGACCACTCTCTTATTCCTCCTGTGAAAACCAGCTAGGACTCCCTGGGGTCCAATCCCTCTTTGTTTAATCTTCTGTCATCTCTATCCCATCTGGCTCATCAGGGAGGTGCAGAAGATTGAAATCAAAGTCCCTGAGGACTCACTGGAGGAATGTGTCATCACTCGTTCAAATAGCTATGGCCCTACTGACTCCAGCCAGCCTCACAGAGACACCAATGAAATCACATTTGAGGAAGACAGCATTGACTCTGCACTGGTTGTAGAGAGTGAGTCATCTCATGATGTGGTGGAGGATGCTCTAATCATTCTTTCAGGTGACCTCTACATTCCTGGTTTTTGGTACCTCTGTCTAGGCTGAGGGAGATCAACTCTGAAGACAGGCTCTATACAGACAAATCGGTTTGAATAAAAACCTATCATGGGATACTAAACACAGATACCAGGGAATTTTTATCTCATCCTCAGCTCATGCATTTGTCTCTGAGGCCCAAGTTTCAAGTTACCAGACCCCAGGCCAGTGTGACAAACTCATGGTCACCTGAGTGCAGGAGGTATACAGGAGGTGTCTGTCAGGTCTCCTAGCTTTGATTCAGTATCTCTCATGTCATTATGTCATCTGTCCCTGAACAATGTCCATGGAGTTTCTATTTATTTTTAAGGAAACTGAGAGCCTTTCCTATTTATTTGGAGAGATTTTTCCCCAGGTTTCATTGCTCTGAGCTTCAGTCTTGATCTCTTTTAAGTCAGCTTGCTTAGCTGCATAGTCACCTTGAAACCAGGATGAAAATATTTCCTCTTTACCTAGTTGATATGTTTCTGTAAAGCAAGGCTCAGCCCTGGCTATCCACCCTATCCATACAATGGCCGATCTGATGTTTATTCGTAGCATCATGTATTGTTTCTTGTTGTTGTTGAGATGGAGTCTCCTTTTGTCACTCAGGCTGGAGTGCAGTGGCACCATCTTGGCTTACTGCAGTCTCCACTTCCCGGACTCCAGTGATTCTCCTGCCTCTGCCTCCTGAGTAGCTGGGACCATAGGTGCCCCCCACCACATCTAGCTAATTTTTGTATTTTTAGTAGAGACGAGGTTTCACCATATTGGCCAGGCTGGTCTTGAACTCCAAACTTTAAGTGGTTCACCCACCTTGTCCTTTGAAATCATAGATTTTTTAGAAATGGAGTCTCCCTCTGTTATTCAGGCTGGAGTTCAGTTGCACTATCTCAGCTCACTGCAACCTCCACCTCCTGGGTTCAGATGATTCTGCTGCCTCAGCCTCCTGAGTAGCTGAGGCTGCAGGCATGTGCCACCATGCCCAGCTAATTTCTTTGTATTTTTAGTAGAGACAGGCTTTCACAGTGTTAGCCAGGATGGTCCCGATCTCCTGACCTCATGAAGTGCTCATCTCGGCCTTTGAGAGTGGTGAGATGGCAGGCGTGAGCCACCATGCCCAGCCCACAGATTCTTTTTTGTTTGTTTTTGTTTTGTCTTTTTTTATTCAGTCTCCCTAGAGACTGTCAAAAATTGTCAATGCCGACTCTATTGCATGTTATCACGGTGGGGTATTGGGAAAAGTTTTCAATTAGCAATAATCTCATCTCAGATAAAACTCATTGGCTACAATACTGGCACTGAGCAAAGCTCACAGATTCTTTTTAAAGCAAGTGCTGTTAGAATTTACATATCAGTCCAGTTTCATGTATAGATGCCTCTAACCATTCAATGACCTTGGTACCTGATGAGATAAGTCAGTATTGCAGCAACACTCCCAGAAAATAGTTTGAATCATATTTGGTGATTTTTCTGGCAAAAAAATTTGGATTAACTTTGCATAGACTCAGGCAGAGAATGTGACATTATGGTCTACCCGTAGAGGGAGATTTTGGCCTGTATTTCTGGAAAGCAGGCTCACCTACTCACCAGGCTTCATCTAGGGCACCCTGGAATAGTCCTGTCAGAATTTGTATTCTTGCCCTGAGAACATTTCTGTGCTTGTGCTATGTGTAAACACTGATTTGGTCATATGTGAAGTGTGATTTGCTTAATGTGACCTGCGTCTCTGAATTTATTTACAGACAGACAAAGTGATGATGAGGAAGAGGAAGAAAGAGGGCCAGTGCCCCCCAGGTAATGCTGTGGACTTGTGGGCTGTTAGTTCAGTAGTGACACCTGGAGACTGCAATCCAGGGAAAATGAGGAAGTGATGACTGGAACTCTTCTTCCATTCACCCAGCTACAAATTGTCCTTATTGACAATGTTGTGGGTGATTTGTGGCACTTGTATAGGTTTTAATTTCTCACTCCTCCCAAGATGGGAACCTGCAATCAGATGAGCCAGGTGAACTCAGCAAACAGGGATTTCCTGGTTTCGCCTGTTCTCCCCACTGTGTTTAAACCCAGGGAGAGACGCATATATGCTTTCTGCCCATTTGTTGTGAGCATGTTCGCTAGGATTTGTGAAGAGAAGAAATTCAAAACATAGACATATGATATCAAAATAGTGGAAAAGGGAGGCCCTTAATACACAAGATCTGGGTGTCTGAAATGCCTCAAGGGCTCTGTTCACTTGAATGCCACATGTAAAATTCAACACAACTTATGCGAGGCAGTTGAAGCCCCGTGTTAGTTCTCGTGCAGCAAGTGGTGATGATAGTTTACAGGGAGAGTCTGGGTAGCCTGCAGTGGCTCATCTGTGGCAAATGCACTGAGCACGTGCTGCTTATTTGTGCTCTGTCCCCAGGGTGGTCACCCTCCACCCTGCATTTAGAAGGGATAGTTTTTTCTCTTGAAGGAAAAATGCCTTTGCTTTCTGTGACCATTCCATTCTGACTTCCATCAGATCAGCTTGGAGACTTTGTTGTCTAATCTCTTTTGGTTTCATCTTCTGTCATCCTCGTCCTGCCTGGCTTATCAGGAATCTGCAGGAGTCTGTGGAGGAAGAAGTCCCCCAGGAGTCCTGGGATGAAGGTTATTCAACTCTCTCAATTCCTCCTGGCACATCTGCCTTCAGTGAGTCTTACAGGAGCAACTTGCACTCAGAGGAGCAGCAAGTCAACTTGGCTGTCAACATAGGCAGTGAGTACTCCATTGTGAAGTTGATAAAGCTCCAATTTGTGTCCCAGATAGACCTCATAGTCCTCGGGCCTTACTCCACTGGCCAGGCTGAAAGTTGTCATCACTGTGGGTTGAACCTATCCATCAGTGTAGATTTCAATCACTCTGGATTCCAGTCTGAAGCACGGACATGGGGTGGGTCAGTGAGCTTTGCTCTCTCTCTAGTTTCACTCCATGCCCATCGCACCCTGGACCGACAGTCAGGACATTGAAACCCAAGGCAGTTGTTGCAAACTCACACCAAGCTATGCAGCACATGCCCGTGAGTTGTCTGTCAATCTGAATTAAATGTCTCTTGCCAGCTACCACGTTCCTCATGAGTTTTATTCCCCATGCATGTCTGTGAGTTTCTTTCCTGTTTGTACGAACTTGGGGTAAAGGGATAATGGTCTACCAGAATAGGGATGTTTCACCATTGGTTCTGAGACACAAACCAAGGAATCTATCATGATTGGCTTTGGGACCTCCTGAAGTCTATCTCTCACATTATCCTGTTGTCATGCTGAGGAGCCTGAGTTCCCTGTGCAGGGATTAGACAGTGGACTGTTATGGGTGTAGGTTAATGGCTTATTTTGTCTGTCCCTATCTGAATTTATTGCAGAGATTAAAAAGGACCAAGAAGAGAAAGAAGACCAAGGCCCACTGTGCCCCAGGTAACTCTGAGCAATTGTGATGCCAGGTCCAGGGAAAACAGAGTGGGCTGACAATATCAATACCGTCTTTTCAATGAAGCCTGAATTATTCTTACTAACATTGCTGTTGGTTTTCATTGCAGTAGATATTTAGGTTTCCATTTCTTCCTCCCCTTACCGTTTACTAACTACTGTAGGTTGACCATACTTGTTTTTATGATCAGTGTACACTGTGTGTCCTGAGGGCACTAACTCAGAGTGTCCTTTTACTCCCTCATCAGTGTGTCACCTGGATGCTTCACTGAGCTTACTTTCTCTCTCTTTCTCTGTCTTTCTCTTTCATTCTTTTTTACCCTACTCTTGTCCATCCCAGCATAAGGCAATAATTTGTTACGTCATTAATGGATCTTTGCTTTTTCTTTATTAACCACTTTCTTGTACTACCCATGAAATCTAGTTGGGACTCTGTGGTGTCTTATTTTCCCTGACTTATTCTTTGGTTTTTCCTCCTTTTTTAGGCTCAGCATGGAGCTGGTGGAAGCATAAGAGCCTGAAGTCTTCTTGTACTCCCTGGATATATTGTGTTCAACACATACAGCATATCTTGAGTTTTATTACACATGCCAGGCTTACACATATGCCATTTTTTTATTTGTAGAAGAGCATGTTCGCTTGACTTTGGACATGGACAGTAGGTTTCTTACTATGATGGTGATAAGACTCCACCTGGTCTCCCGGATAGGGGTCATATTCCCACACTAAGACAACATGTCACATGGGACTCTGCCGGTACAGAGTATGAACAATGCCATGTTCTTGCTGAAAACGCTTAGCATGAGTTTCATAGCCTGAAGTAATCTCCAGACAACTTCAGAATGTTGACCAGTGAGCAGCACTACTGACCTGTCTCCTTCAGACAGCCCATGTCACCACAAATCACACAACTAAAAGGAGAAGAGACATTTTGGGTTGAAAAAGAGTAAAAAGATAATGTAGCCACTTTTCTTTAGTTCTTTTGAACCCAAAGTGTCTCCTCATCTTTTTGTTGTTGTCATTGATGGTGGTGACATGGGCTTGTTTGTAGAGGACAGGTCAGCTGTCCGGCTCAATGGTCTGTACTCTGAAGTTGTCTGAAAATGTCCTCATGATTAAATTCAGCCTAAGTGTTTTTCCGGGAACACAGCAGGGTCAATGCTACCTCACCCATCTGCAGGTAGAGAAGGTCCCGTGTGTCTCCCACCATGATTGTGATACCAGGACTGTTCCACCATTTGTCTATCACCATGATCGTGATGCCAGATCTGTACCTTTCAGAGACACCTTATTTATACTGAAGTAATTGGAAAAATGGTTTTTAAAAGTATTAATATCCTGTATTCAAATGATCATCCCTCAACATTTTATTATTCATTAATCATCCCTGGCTGTGTCAATATTATATTTACAGCTGTACACTGGAAATTTTCTATTTTTACTGTATCTTTGCTTTTGCTAGTTTCTGTTGTGGAACAAAAAAAATTCCCTGCCTGCATTTCAATTTTTGCCAAAGTTAATTTTAATCTATACAATGAAAATTTTTTGTCTTTAAGATAAGACCGTCAGCATAAGGCCACAGCAAAACAGAGATTTTGCTAATTTTTAAGCCTTTGTTAATTTCTGGCTGATGAGAAAGGTAGTTTATTTAATTAGCTGCTAATATCTATTTAAGTGAGCAGCCAGAGAAATGTCTATCAGACTAATACCTATTTAAGTGAGCAGCCAGAGAAATGTCTATCAGACTAAGGATATGCAAAGCCCAGGCCATTCTTTTTGAGTCTTTTAAACTATTTCAGAAGAGAAGAGAATAGGCAGATTCCACATATGTGGACAGGAAGGAGAATCCACTAAGACACAAACAACCATTTCCCAAAACAGAATAGAAAATCCATTAAAATTCATATTTTCTCATGAAATGTAATCTCTCTAAACTTAGCCATTATGTGAAAGTCAATTCTTAACATACCATACTACATTGACTGTTGACAATCATAAGAATTCATTTCCATGTTTGTTATTTGAAAAAGCAAAAGGGATATAATCCTTTTTCTCTTTGCCGTGATCTTTTAAGATTGAGGATTGTTTTTCAAAATAAAACCAAAGATTTTAAAGATTGAAAAATTGGCATTAAAATTTATCTTTTCAAAGTAATGATGTTTAACTGAGGCTGTCTTATTCCTGTTTGTAGTATAACTGTCAAGTGATCATTTAACCATTCTTTAAATGTTTCAAGTTACTGGAAAGAAACCACATCACAGGATGTATCTTCTTTTGTTTCTTTATTTTACTTTAAGTTCTGTGGTACATGTACAGATCTTGCAGGATTGTTACACATATATACACATGCCATTTTGGTTTGTTGCCTCCACCCCCCCCCATCACCTTCATTAGGTATTTCTCCTAATGCTATCCCTCCCCAATCTCCCCACCCGCTGCTATCCCTCCTCTAGCTCCCCCATGCCCTGACAGGCCCCAGTGTGGGGTGTTCCCCTTCCTGTGTCCGTGTGTTCTCATTGTTCAACACCCACTTATGAGTGAGAACATGTGGTGTTTGCTTTTCTGTTCCTGTGTCAGTCTGCTGAGAATGATGGTTTCCAGTTTCATCAATGTCCCTGTAAAGGACATGAACTCATCATTTTTTAATGGCTGCATAGTATTCCATGGTGTATATGTGCCACATTTTCGTTATCCAGTCTATCTTTGGTGGGTATTTGGTTTGTTCCAGGTCTTTGCTATTGTAAGCAATGCTGCAGCAAACATATGTGTGCATGTGTCTTTATAATAGAATGTTTTCTAATCCTTTGGGTATGCACCCAATCATGGGATTGCTGAGTTAAATGGTATTTCGGTTTCTAGATCCTTGAGGCATTGCCACACTGTCTTCCACAATGTGCCTGAATATTATATTTTTCTCTAGGTTTAGAAAGTTTTCTGTTATTATTTCTTCGAAGAAGCTTTCTACTCTTTGCTCCTTCTCAACCCCCTATTTAAGGCCAGTGAGTCTTTGATTTTCTCTTTTGAAACCCTCTTCTAGATCTCTTAAGCATTCTGTGTTCCTTCTTGTTATTCTTTTCTTTTTTCTCCTCTGACTGTATTTTGAAATAGCTTGTTTTAATGCTCACTAATTATTATGCTTAATCAATTTTACTGACACTCACTAAGGCATTTTCCAGCTCCAGGATTTGTTTGCTATTTTCTATTACGTCTGTATCCTTGTTAAATATTTCTGATATAATTTTGAATTGTTTCTGTTTTCTTGAAGTTCATTGAGCTTTCTCAAAATAGTTGTTCTAAATTTCTTGAGAAGTTACATATCTCCATCATTCCAGGGTTGGTCACTGGTGGCTTATCTGGTCTATTTGGTGAGGTCATATTGACTTAAATGTTCTTGATACTATTAATATTTGTCAATATCTGGGTATTGAAGGATAAGGTATTTATTCCAGCCTTTGCAGTCAGGTCTTGTTTGTACCTGTCCTTCAGAGGGCCTCCCAGGAATTCAAAGTGGGCTGACGAGTTCCCTAAGCCAGTGGTCACTACTGGTGTCAGCAATTTTTGTACTACAAGGCACCCTAGGCCCAGGTACACTGCAATCCTTACAGATTCCCAGGTCCCCAGCCCTCTTGGACTTTGGGAAGATCAGGAATTTTTCTCTGGGTTCCCAGGTAAAGCCTCTAGCTTACTTTCCTCTATTTCCCCCAAGCAAAAGGAATCTCTCTGTAGGCTACACTGCCTGGAGTATGGGGAGGGGTGATGCAAGCATTCCCGTAGCTGCTGCAGCTGCTGCTGTCATACTGGCTGTGACCTCAAGTCCGGCATCTTCCAGACCTATGCAACATCAGGGTTTGCCCAAGGAGTGTTGTGGTCACTGCAGCCTGCCTGCCCCTGATGTTTATCTGAAGCCCAATTAATTTCCAGTGATAAAGCTGACCAGAACTTTGGTGGGTTCTTCCTCCTGGGGCAGCTGATTCCCTTGTGGCCCAGGGTGAGTCTAAATGCTTCTTCTGTGGACATCAGCCTGGAATCAAGCACTGTTGGGTTCTGTTCAGGGCTGTGTTTCACTATGGCAAGACTGGTACTGAGTTTCCTCCTTGTCTCCAAGCCATTAGATTCTCTCTCAAAGATGCGTTTCCTGCGGTTTGGGGAGAGGTGTCAGAAGCAATGCAAGACCATCCTTCCTGCCTTCTTCAATGCATCTTGTTAGTATGCTAAAACCAGGTGCTCTGATCTCTCACCTGATTACTTAGCTCTTGTGAAAGAGTTTTCTTGCATGGATACTTGTTCCATTGGATGTTCCTTCAGGGAGACCATTGCTGGAGAGTTGTATTCTATGATCTTACTGCACCTCCCACCTGGTTTTTTTTTTAAATGTTTCTAGTAAATAATTGTGAAGTGATAGCTTTATTTTAATCTTGGGGATCAAAAGCATGTAGCTAAGAACTTTTCCCAAAAAACATTTTAAAAATTTTATGTCAATGTTGACGGAATAATAAACTTATTGACTCAAGGGTCTTAAATGGATTTTTAGTTTTGATTCAATGTGACAGGACACTTTTTTTAAAAAGTGTGATCTGCAGCCCTCATGTACTAAAATCACCTGTGGTGCTTATATTATAAAAAGGCAGATCTAGGGCCCACACTACCTAAATCTCCTGGGATTGGAGACCAGTGTGTGTGGCTCCTATCATCTCCACAGCTGCTTCTAAGGTACACCAAGTTTAAGAACCATTCTTTCGCATTTTCAGACTAGGGAGTCTTACAAAATGGCAGAGAAGAAAAACCTTAATCTTTTAAAGTTAAGAGTTTAAGCATTAGACTATGCCCTTCTTAAACACAGATTATCTTTCCCATTTTCTCTTTCCAGTTCTTTATACTGTCAAGGGATTGGTGCAGAAATAGGAAACAAAACAGTGAAAGAAAAACTTTATTTCTTAATATACATTTGGCTTTAATAATCACCAAAAAGACTTCCATTTTCTCTCTCCGGCCTGTCCACCAGTTATATTGGCCTTCAACAGATGGTGATAGCAACATACATAAATCTATATCATGCATTTATACACGCAAACATGTTGTATCAGCACTGTGAAGACACAGACTGGGCTTTACTATGGCTGGGGGCCTCTCCCAGGCCACCTAAAAATGAGCACAGGTTTGCTCTATGCAAGAATTTCAACAGAATTGGTCTGGCCATCAGTCCCCAGTTTCCCCGAGGAAAGATAGGATGACAAAATGGGACAGCGTATTTGAAGTGAGGTCAGTCCAATTCGGGTATCATAGAAGAAAAGAAATAGGATGTGCTAGCTGAAGCCTGAGATGGTATCTGTGAAGTCACCACGTTCATGATGTGAACTCAACGCAGATGCCACAATGCAGACCAAAGCCCAGCCTGACTCAACCCAACAGGATCAGGTGTGGATCTGTGAGCAGCGCTCACTGAGTCCCCACCAGTACTGTCCAGCAGGGCACCGCTCCTCAGTATTGTGCTTTTAGGACCTGCCAGAAGAGCTCCAGCATTGGGACCACATGCTTCATTCATCAGAATCAGGGTCCTGTCTCCACTGAGTTTTCCATCTCAGGGCAGCTGATGAGGCAAGAAATGTGCTGTTGCTAGTTCCCACGCTGCTGGGGCTATTGAGAAGTAGTCTCACAAAACTGTCTATGCAAACGACACATCTTTTGCTTCATGCTGGGCCAAGTCGGCCTTGGCTAACGGTATTCCATAGCTGTCAGAAAGGCTTTCTGTCTTTCTTCCCGCTCCACCAGGACACACCTCTGTCTCCCTCTTCTGGATCCTCCAGTGGACTTGGAGGAATGAGGCCCAGATGCTCCTCAGCAGATAGGTAGCGGCACAGAAGAGGGACAGGCCCACCCTTCCTGTTATTTTAAGGACCTTTGGTGGCTGCGCTTCTTGCATGGTTCCTGGAAGGCAAGGGTCACAAGGCTGGAGTGTGCGGCAGAGCCCTTAGGGAGTTCACCTGCAGACAAAGATAAACCAAACCAAACCAGTGGATATTGCCAGGCCCTGCTGATGGAGTGAAAGCGATGTGGTGATTAAGCCAGGAGTATGGTGAGAGCCAGGTAAGAGGATGAGCTAGGAGTATGCGCTGCGGTCTGGAGGAACAGTAGGTGCCCCCGGTTACGGAGAGCCTCCTCACCTCCCCGTGTTCTGAGATCCCTGCTCCAATTCACTGCATGCTGTGTGGCTGGATCCCACCATTCCCTCTTCAGGGGCCAGGTGACTCTCCAAATCACTTTGTCTCAGCAGAAAAATTGCCTCTGCCATCTTCCCCCAGAAAGAAGTGCTTAGCATGAAACATGCATATATGGAAAGAGCCTGTTGTAGGAAGAAGAGGACATTTTGCAGGGAAGTTCTCTGTTAGGTTGATGTCCAGTTGACAGAACGAGGACATGAAGGGGCCAAGTGTACATGGACTTCAGGGCTCAACTAAGTTCAGTTCCACCTTTGACAGATGAGGGTGCAGCAGACTCATAGAGACTAAGGGACAAGCCAAAACCACACACCAGTTAGTGACAAGCCAAGTGTTAGAACCAAGGCCTCAGGTCCTTTCCAATGATCTATAGGAGGTCGAGGAGAAAGCTTCCACACTGGAAAAAGCCAGTGGATACTAGAGGAGATTTTGAGGTTACGTTTTCTGGGACAGGAATAAGGAGTTACAGAGACAATCCTGTAAGTGTTGCTCTAAAGAGGCTCAGGAAAGAAAGGAATTATCAGAGAAAAACAAAAAGGAATTATTGGGGAAAAAAAAGAGCAAGTTAAGTCATGGC